AGAATAGACTAGAGAGTAGAATAGAATAGAAAAGAAAGGAAAATAGAATACTGTAGAGAATAGAATAGGAATAGAAGCTGGAAGGGGCCTTGGAGGTCTTCTAGTCCAGCCCCCTGCTCAAGCAGGAGACCCTATGCCATCTCAGATAAGTGGCTGTCCAAACTCTTCTTAAAAACCTCCAGTGACCCACGACTTCTGGAGGCAATCTCTTCCACGGGTTAATTTTCCCCACTGTTATAAAGTTTCTCCTTAATCTCAGGTTGTTTCTCTCCTGGATTAGTTTCCATCTGTTGTTCCTTGTCTTGCCTTCTGGTGCTTCGGGAAATAAATTGGCCCCCTCCTCTTCTCCGTGGCAGCCCCTCAAATATTGGAAGATGCTCTCCTGTCTCCCCTGGTCCTTCTCTTCCCTAGACTAGCCAGGCCCAGTTCCTGCAACCGTTCTTCCTATGTTCGAGTCCCCAGGCCTTTGATCATCCTAACTGCTCTTCTCCAAACTTTTTCCAAAGTCCCAAACTCTGTTTTGTAACATGGGGACCAAATATTGGTAGGTAGCAATATTCCAGGTGTGGCCTTACTAAGGCTTTGTAAAGCGGCACTAACACTAACACGCTATTTTGATTCTCTGTTCACGCAACCCAGAATCGTAACTGGTTTTTTTCGGCGGCTGCTGCTGCTGATTGATGGATTGAGGAGAACGGTAGGATCACAGCACCCATCATCCCCACAATGATGGGAGACACAGGCCTCTCATTTGGCCCCCGGTGACCGACTGGATGCCCACAACTCAACAACCTGGTTACCGCAATAATTTCGCTGTGATTGTGCAACGTGCATTTCTCCTTCCTCAAAGGTCAGTTCAGCCGCACGGAGAGTTGAACCAGGTCTAGCTAAGAACTCTTGCCTGTCCTTTAGGCCCCCGGCGATTCTTCGGTAGAATTAAAGCAAACTTTTTAGAGTCTTCGCGCCGAGTTTCCCAATCGTGTCTACTTTTAAGACCTGTGGACTTTCACTCCCAGAATCCCACAGCCAGTGTGGAAGTCTTTGTGTGTGTCTGCGTCCCTGAATAGTTCTCTTAAGAGAATAACAAGAGTTGGAAGGGACCTTGTAGGTCATCTAGTCCAACCCTCCGCTCAAGCAGGAGACTCTATACCATTTCTGACAGATGGCAATGCAGTCTCTTCTTGAAAGCCTCCAGGGATGAAGCTCCCACAACTTCCAAAGGCAACTTCTGTTCCATCGATTGATTGTTCTCACGGTCGGGAAATTCCTCCTTATTTCCAAGTTGAATCTTTCCTTGGACAGTTTCCATCCATTATTATTCCTTGTCTGGCCTTCGGGTGCCTTGGAAAACAGCTTGACCCCCCTCCTCTCTGTGGAAGGCCCCCAAATATTGGAAGATGCTCTCCTGTCTCCCCTGGTCCTTCTCTTCCCTAGACTAGCCAGGCCCAGTTCCTGCAACCGTTCTTCCTATGTTTTAGCCTCCTCTCATCATCCTGGTTGCTCTTCTCTGCACTCTTTCTAGAGTCTCAACTTCTTTTTTACATCGTGGCAACCAAAACTGAATGCAGTACTCTAGGTGTGATCTTACTAAGGCCTTACAGAGTGGGGTGTGAGTACCTCACTTGATCTTGAATCAAAGCCCCTCCTGCTTAGGAGCCGTATCGCACAAGGATGGTTTCAAGCTGCTTTTCTCCCTTTGTCTTTCTAATTTTGAACAGTCACTACGTGAACGGATGTAAAGCAAGGACTACCTGAATTTTAGGAAAGAGTTCC